ATACACATATACACATACACATACACATACACATACACATACACATACACATACACATACACATACACATACACATACACATACACATACACATACACATACACACACACACACACATACACACACACACACATATATATATATATACACTGAACAAAATTATAAAAGCAACACTTTTGTTTTTGCCCCCATTTGTCATGAGCTGAACTCAAAGGACTTTTTCTATGTACAGAAAAGGCCTATTTCTCTCAAATGTTGTTCACAAATCTGTCTAAATCTGTGTTAGTGAGCACTTCTACTTTGCCAAGACAATCCATCCACCTCACAGGTGTGGCATATCAAGATGCTGATTAGACAGCATGATTATTGCACAGGTCAACACAACCGACTTCCTCAACAAACTCAGCCAAATCCCCAATCTCCCTGCTAACACCATCCTTGTAACCATGAATCTGGAATCTCTGTACAGCAACATTCCACATACAGATGGCATCAATGCTTGCTTCCATTTCCTCTTATTCCGACAACCAAAAATACAACCCCCGAATTATCACAGAACTGGCATTTTTCATCCTCACACATAATTATTTCAGTTTTAACAATGAGGTTTACCTACAAACCATGGGCACTGCTATGGGCACTAAGATGGAACCCCAATATGCTAATGTGTTTATGGCAGATCTTGAACAGCGATTCCTAGAAATACAGTATGTAACGGATCACCTGGCACCCCGACTGGATACCTCCATTGAAGGATGCACCTAGCGCCTCCTGAGGGCTCCAAGCACCCCAACCGACACCATAACCACCGTAGACTCCTTCCGAGAGCAAGACCGGAACAAGCTCTTAAAATAGCTTAGAAGTGATTATCCAAGGGAGCATGCAGAGCATAGCAATCCCTTGTAGTGATATAGCAATTCTCCCAATAAGAGACAGGACTCTAGATTGAGGGTGAAGAAGAACTGAGGTTTAATGGCAGGTACTCTTCTTTTATGACCCACTGACAATTAGACATTAACCAATCAGACAATGGTTACAACCCACAGATTCCCTCCCCTCTGCTTGGGAGATAATTGAGTTTTACGGTATCTACTCAATTATCTCCAAGCTAAAACTTATACTTTCTTATGCATTTTAATAACTTTATGATTTTTCATCCTATAGGAATAATATTATATATTTTTATGAACAACACAACCTGGGGACAAACACATTCAAAATTCGTACAAATCCGTTCGGTGGTTCCAGAAATATTGAAAAGTCTCTTTGGACCGACCACACGCCTGTTTGCATGCCCAAAACAGTTCCACAGATTCAGGCTGTGCGGTCGGTCTATTTCTGCCTTGAAAAATAACAAAGTCCCATCCGAAGGCGGCGTTCGAATAGTCGAACGCACTTCGACTTCTGTCGAAGTGTCGAAGTAAAAACAGGGTTAAGTTTTAGCGGTGAGCGTTAGTTAAGTGGCAGTCTATTTTACACGAAAAAGATGACAAAGTCCCATTCGAACATGCATTCGAATATTCGAATGGGACTTAGTCTCCAGCCGCAATGTCGAAGGGTAGGGGAAGGTACAGGTCAGCGGTGTTCGTTCAAATGTGTGGCTGATTTCCGTTCCAGTGATTTGACGGCACACACCGCTGACCGCGTTCGACTGCATTAAAAAGGCCGCAGCCACGTGTTCGTTTGTCGAATGGCGGCCACTTCGGCTGTATCCGAAGTGCCAGTTTAAAGTTGCAACACTGCTCCAAAGTAATTAAAGGGCCAGAAACAGCATTATAAAAATCCATTATGCCCAAATACAGTTCTTAAAGGGTCAGTAACAGTATAATATAACTCCATAAGCCTCAACTCAGTTCCTTAAAGGGCAACACATCCCAGGGGCCATAGTCACATGGCAGGAGGCTGGCAAATAGGCCCCTCCAAAACCAGTGGCGAGGTCTTTCACCACACAGTACACCAAGCCATACAAATATTATCGCTATATCGATGATATCTTTATAATGTGGACTGAAACCAAAGAAAAACTGATACAGTTCCATTACTCTTTGAACACATTGCATCCATCAATCAAACTAAAAATGGAATATTCCACTAAAACTGTACATTTAGACACCACTGAGACCTGTAACAATGGCACAATCCACACCTCGGTTTACAGAAAACCCACAGACAGGTGCAGTTACCTTCACAGCTCCAGCTTCCACCCCTCCCATACTAAACAGGGCATCCTCTACAGCCAAGCCACTAGGTACCAGGTACTAGCATATCGCATATACTCTGATCCTAATGACTGCAATTCCCATCTAAATGTACTCTCCCAATCTATGAGACAGAAAGGCTACAAACCAAAGACTATTACCAAACAAATCAACATTGCTGTAAAAACTCCATGCATGCGCCTGCTACAGTACAGAGAGAAAAAAAATATCTACACAAGTGCCATTTGTGGTCACCTACAACCCAACTCTTGAGGAAATACGGAAAATTATTAAAGACTTACAATCAATGTTAACAGAAGATGAGACTCTGAAAAACATTTTCTCTGACACACCCATTTTGGTCTTCAGACAACCACCAAACCTCCAACATAAATTAATCAACAGGAAGCTGCCCACTGATGGGAAAAATAAAGAAAATGGGACCAGTCAATGCAAAAAACTTTGCTGCAAACTGTCAGCACACATGCACAGACAACACATCCACACACAACAACCTACAGCATTAAAGGTTCATACTCCTGCACATCCAGCAATGTGGTATACATGATTCAAGGCACCAAATGCCACCTAGGATGCTACATTGGGGAAACCACTCAACAATTAAATGGCAGAATGAATATGCACAGACTCCATTAAATACCACAAAGAAGGATCGTACTGCACTTCTGTGGGACACCGCTTTACCCAGCCTGGCCAATTGATAACAGACCTAAAAATCAAAGTACTGAAAGGGGGTTTTAAAAATACCCAAGAAAGAAAACTTTTGAAGCCAGAATGATCAAATTGTTTAACAGCAAGAATAGAGGACTAAATATTGATATGGTTTTCCTGTCCCACTACCAACACTTTAGATGAACACCTCCCCCTCCCCCAATTATCTTACTGTTCTGTCATATGTATCAACACTTTAAATGCACTCCAATATATTTATTCTATCAATATACAAAGTACTATGTATAGACCTATGCTTTCCCATACTCTTATGCATGTATGCTTATTTATGTGACTGTGCATTTATATTTCTGTATATGAGTTCATGTGCATGTATGTATATGTGTTTATGTGTATGTATATATGTTCATGTTTTTTTGTGTTTGCATATACATATATATATTTGTGTGTGTGTGTGTATGTATATACTGTACCATCTTCTGCACTGTCTGCTTTTTTTTTCTCCCTCTCCCCCCTCACTCTGATCTTCAGAGAGATATTTATGACCCTTTGCAAGAATGTTGTCTATTTTCTATCAAACCTGTGTCTTATCTGCACTCATGTCGCTTTAACCCCTGTATCACAACTCAACTTTGAATTCTATGTGTCATCTTGCTCAGAAATGCTTCAGACTTGAGAAAGGGAGGTTCTCCCGAAAGCGTGTCATTAAAAAATTCTGTTAGTCCAATAAAAAAGGTATTACAAGATACATCAGGCATTAGCTTAAATTTGAACGTGTACGCCAGGATTACCAGAACCATCGGGTATACAAATGGCTTACGGGGGATAAGATGAGGAGGCCACCCAGAATACGTAAACGTATAGCTCGCCCCAGAGTCCCAACAGTAGATGTCACTTCAGGAGAATCGGCTTCGGATAGTGAAGCACTAAGGGAACCGGCAATTTTTTTAGGGAACGCAGAAATGGGTATTACCACGAGGAGCCAAGGGAAAAGCGCAGAAGGAGGAGAACAAGACTTGGACAGAAGGGCAAAATCAACACTACGAGGCAAACCTCCAATGAGGAAGTAACACCTATTTTCAATCTATCACAAAGGGTGTTGGACAAACAAGAATTACAAATTTTGGAACATGGCCTTTCATTTGTACCCACAGCAGCCCCTAATTTGTTTAAATGGAACGTGGAACTATTTAAATTTGGGAGGAACATGCGCCTTAAGGAACATTACTACAGACCAAAAGAACAAGAATCATTACAGACCCAAGTGAATATTGATATACCGAACCAATATACGACAAAATTTAGACCCAAATCTGATTTTGATCTACAGTCCCATAAAGCCTCAATTAAAACATCTCTCTACAGTGGAACGACTCACACAAGAGACTATACATAATCATAAAGTCACTAGGAGGAATATCTCCGTATCACAGATGAAAATGATTAAAAATTTGGCTGAGGACCCTACTATTGTCAATAGATCTGCTGACAAAGGGGGAGGCATCGTAGTCATGGACTACAGCGACTATGCAAGAGAAATCACAATTACAAGATGTCACGGTATACCTACATTTACAAGGTGATCCAACAAAGAAAATAGCTACATCGACGATTTGTTGATCTTTTGGAAAGGCACGGAATTGGAAGCACAGCAAATGGTTCAACATTTGAATGAACTTAATACTCCAGTCAGATTCACATCCAATATTAGTACAAGCATGATTCAATATTTAGATCTGGAGATATCTATTAAAGAACGTGGTGTGACATATTGTTTATATAAGAAAGATACTGACCGGAATACATTGTTGCATAACAAAAGTGCACATCCAAGAATGCTGAAAAAATCCCTTCCCAAGGCACAATTTTTAAGAGTCGTACGCAATAATTCAGACGAACGTAAGATGGAAGAACAGTTGGAAGAGATGAATAAGAAATTTCTTGAAAGAGGTTACCATAGACAGGAGTTGTTAAAGGCACAACAAGATGCACAAAATGCCAGTGCCACCACACGGATCAGAAAGCCACCACCTATAGTGTTTCCAATGGCATACAATGACGCTTCACCTAAAATAGCCAAAATCATTAAACAAAATTGGAAAATGCTTGCAAGCGACGACACCTTACCCAAAGTGTTTAAGGAAAATCCGCTAATTTGTTTCAAGAGAAACAAAACATTAAAGGACATTTTGGTACACACGGACCCCATTAAAAGCTACAGCCAAGAAGTAGAAATTCAACATCGTGGCAGTGTCCGTTGTTTAGGGTGCGTTACATGTAGCCATATGACTCCAGCAAAATCTTTCCAACACCCACACGATAACAAGGTGTTTAAGATACAACACACAATTACGTGTAAAACACCTTTTGTGGTCTATAAATTAACATGTCCATGTGGGTTAGCCTATATCGGTAAAACCGAAACCGCATTGTGCGAAAGAATACGTGGACACAGATCAGCAATACGTGTGGCATATAGAGATGGACATTCAGAACAACTTGTGGCACAAAATTTTTTGAGAATGAAACACCCACTTTCTTCCTTGAAATTTATCGCAATAGATCACATCCCTATACCCAGGCGAGGGGGGGATCGTGGCAAAATTCTCCTTAATAGAGAGACAGAGTGGATTTTCCAACTGAATACGATTGCTCCCAAGGAACAAAAGAAAGGGATCAGCGCTCTCTATCTATACAAAATACAACAGAAACAATAATAAATAAGTAAAAAGTGGCAGCACACCTAAAAAGTAGGGCTCCCTCACAGGCCTTACAACAGAAATGGTACAGAAAAAAGAAAGGAAGGCAGCGCCACTATAAACCACATAAATTAAAAGAGCACAGAATAGGCAGACTAGAATGCAATATATATGATAGATAATAAGCAAATAGAAGTCCAGAATAAATAGTCTGACTGGTAGATGAATCAAACAACGAGGTATATCTTTGTAGAGGTGAATACAGTCTTTTGTAGTGGGGGATTCTTCAGAGTGGTGTAGATGCGTCTTTGTACATCATATGAAATGAGAAAATAACAGCTGATGGTATAGTATGTCCCAAAGGGGGTAGAAGCAGTAAAAGAGTATATGGTCCTACTCACGTTTTCAAGAGCTATGGACTTAGCTCTAGTGTTGATAACGTACAGTGGTATAATCCCCACTTATGGGATACGTGAGGTCTTAGTATTCTTTCTTGATTAGGGAACCATATGTGGAAATAAAAGCGGGAACAACAATGGTGCTCAAAGTATAAAATGCCAGAGGTGAGAAGATAAAAAACCAAGTGGTTACTCACATTTAGTTGAACAGACTAACTGTTCAATGAATACAGCTTGAGTGGTATAATCCCCACCTAGGATTCTTGGGAGTAATATCCTCACTGGAAAGTAAAAACACTTCTGTGCCGGATAAAAGGATGGTAGTAGTAAAAAAGTAAAATAATAATAGTAATAAAAAGTAAGATGGCTAACTCACAGTAAGAAAGTGGCCAAAATACCTTTATTTAAAACAATATAGTTTAAAAAACCACAACGCGTTTCGCCCTTAGGCTTTATCAAGTGGAGATCAGAAAGTACATCCTGTTACATACAGGTTTATATAGGCAGTGAACATATTAGAAAATGGCGCCAAAATGATGTCATAATTTATTTATTTATTTTTTTTCTCTTTTTTTTTTTCTCAAAAGTGCTAAATTTTATATGTGTAAGTGAGTACATACCTATATGTGAAACATGTGATAGTTTAAAATAAAAAACGAGGTTTTAAACTCACAATACCTTACATATTATATTTAGATACAACAGTCACATGATCGGTGGCCATTTTTTATTTTTTTCAAAAGTGCTAAACTTTATATGTATCAGTGAATACATACCTATATTGGAGACATGTGATAGTCTAAAATTTTAATTAAAAACAAGGTTTTATACTCAATACCTTGCATATTATTTAAATAGAACAGTCACGTATATAAGTCACATTATATAAATATGTACTTCATGCACAAAATAATTATAGAAGATAAAATATAAGAAATATATTATAAAAAAATTAATTATAAAAAATTATAAAAAATTAAACAGGTCGAACTCTACATTAAGACCTTCGGGGGTAAGGGTTTTTAAAAGGAACACCCAGTGCATTTCTTTTTGTCCCAGTAATTTTTTGAGGTCACCTCCCCTCCAGGGTAATTTACATCTTTGGATCCCAGTACATTTTAAAAATGTAGGGTCTTTGTTGTGTTGAATAAAATGCTTTGAAACAGAGTGATTAGGGTAGCCTTTGATAATATTTCTACAATGTTCTGCTAACCTTATTTTTAAGCATCGTGTGGTCATACCCACATACTGGAGGCCACATGGGCACTCCAATAGGTATACAACATTCTTAGTAGTGCAACATATTAAATCTTTGATAGGGTATGTAATACCGGTTTTGTTTGAGGTGAATTGTGTTGTCTTTGATGTGCTGTTTTGGTCAGTGGATCTGCAGACAATGCATGTGTTGCATTTGAAAAAACCTTTAGAATTTGATAAAAATGATGGATTGCTTGTATTGCTTTTTTTGTATAATTTTTGGTAAGCATTGTCTTTAGGTTTGGGGCCGCTCTAAAAATGATATGGGGTTTATCTGGGATGAGTGTCTTTAAAATTTCGTCTTGTTTTAAAATGTGCCAGTGTTTTTGAATAGTTTTTTTCACAATTTTATTCTTATTGTCAAAGTTAAAGATGATCGGCATGGATGGTGGTTCTTTATTTTTATTCGTATTATATTCTAAGAGCTTGAGTCTTTCTTTTTGTTTTAAAAAACGTCTCTGAGGAAGTGGGGCTGACACCCACGAAACGCGTAAGACAAGCCGACAGTGTGAGAGGACACAGGATACGGAGAACAGCCAGCTGTCAGCAGCAAGCACAGCTCCCTTCCCCATCGATCGGGGGACTGACGGACTGCCGGTATCAGACTATCACAGTGAGGTTTGGCACGCACGCCAACCTCGCAGCAGCCGGCAAGTACAGATATTGAAATCCTGTCACATAGTATCCACTGTAATCCTCATCGGTTACAGTGGTTATCAGGATACAAATTTAACATTTATGCTGACAACTGACTTGTAGATCGTTCCTGGTCCCCATTTTTGTATTTTTTGCACAATTGTACTGTGCAATTTATTAATTTTAATACATTTTCTCATTTATCTATTTTTTAATATTAATAAATATACATTTTTATTTTATATATTCTTCAGTGGTTTTTTGGAATTTTTTTAACTTACCCGCATTTACCTGTTTTTATATATAGAGATTAAGCTAATTCTATATCTCTGCGATATAAGTTATATATTGCCTATTTGCACCATCCAGTGTGCTACCTTATGATTTTAAGACATATTCATTATAATATTTTGTGTGTATTCTAAACCCCGTACAGATTACACTTTTGCTGTTGTGAATCTGTAATTATCAAGTTGCTTCATATTTAAGCAGAGTATCTTGGTGTGTAACAGACTAAATCTGCCTTTAGCAGATTTAAAGGTATACACACCATACATATCTTTCCCGTCAATACTGGTTATTTTAGAAACGGATACAACTATTATATTGTCAACCAAGCCATAATACAGTGAATTAGCTCCTGAACTCACTACCTTGAAGGTATTACTGTTTTTTTTCTTTCTTTTTGTTTCACTGCTTTGAGGGATTCTTCTAGCTTTTCTTTTGGGTAATTTTTACTGATAAATTGAGCTTCTAGTGTTCTAGCTTGTTCGTCGAAATCTGTATTAAGGGAACAGTTCCTGCGAAGACGTAGGAACTGACCTTTAGGGACCCCATCTAACCATGGTTGGTAGTGGCAGCTTGATATGTCAATGACTGTGTTGGTGCACACTTTTTTAAAAAAAAGTTCTAGTGTTAATATTCCCATCCTGGATAAAAATTTGGATGTCTAAAAAATTTATTAAATCTTTGCTGTGTTCTGATGTTAAAATGATGCCACTATTGTTGTTGTTTAGATGGTTTAAAAAAAGTTTAAGTGAGGTTTCAGGACCTTTCCAGATAAAAAAAACAAGTCGTCTATGTATCTAAAATAGGATACTAGGTTTGCTTTCCAGCGGTGATTTCCCCAGATTGCTTTAGACTCCCAATTGTCCATAAAAAGATTGGCATAACTTGGTGCAAACCTAGTACCCATAGCTGTGCCTTGTCTTTGAATGTAAAAAGTGTCTAAAAACCAAAAATAGTTATTTGTTAAAATAATTTTTATCCCTTCTAAGATAAAATTAATTTGTTTTTCTGGAATTTTATTATCCGTTTTTAATCTATTTAAAACTGCTTCACACCCTAATTCGTGGGGGATTATGGTGTACAAAGACTGGACATCACAAGTGACTAGAATAAAATCTGGATGCCAGGTAAAATTTTCTAAAAAACGTAAGAGAGACATGGAATCTTTTAAGTATGACCTCATAAGTCTGACTGATGGTTGTAATAAAATGTCAGTATACTCTGATAAGTTTGATAAAACAGAATTGATCCCGGAGACAATAGGTCTACCTGGTGGATTGGTCTCATTCTTGTGTATTTTTGGTAAAAAGTATATAACTGGAATTTTTGGATGAGGTATATTTAAATAAGCAAATTCTTTTTTGTTGAGGATATTGGAATTTAAGCCTTTGGTTAAAAATGATATAAGGGAGTTTTGGATGGTATGGGTTGGGTCTGATAGTAGCTTGTCATATACTTTGGGGTCATTAAGCTGTCTAAATGCTTCTTTGATGTACATTTCTTGTGAGAGTATAACTAGGCCGCCCCCTTTATCGGCTGGTTTGATGACTATTCTGTCATCTTTTTTAAGATCTGTGAGAGCTTTTCTTTCTTGAAAGGTTAAGTTATATTGGTTATATTTATGATATTTGTGGTTGGTTTTTTTTGGAGGTATTAATTTTTTCTAAGTCTTGCTTTACCAAATTCTCAAAAACTTCTATCGGGCCAGATTTGAAACTTGATGGGTAAAAATTAGAGTTATTCTTAAGGGTGGTGTTTTTCACTGGTATCTCGTCATTAATACATGGAGGTGTGGGGAATAGTTGGTCTGTCCCTGGTTAATAGATTGATTCTCAATTCTGCTGCTAAAAAATCTTTTTAGTGTAGCTTTCCTAACAAACTTATTTAAATCTAAAAAGGCTTGGAATGGTTGATAGGGATTGGTAGGTGCAAATTTGAGGCCCTTAGTTAAAACCAATATTTGGGTAGTAGTTAAAATTTTTTGGGAAAGGTTAAAAATTCCATGAGGGTTGTCTGTATTAGTTAGTGTCTCTCTAGTCTCTTTTGAAATCTTCTGCCACTTCTCCTTCCTCTAGGCTTAGATTTCTCTTTTTTGTTCTGGGTAGGTAAACACTGACCAAAATAGC